CAGGGAATAAACAAGCCACTCTATATTTGGAACTTATCAGATATTATTAATCATTTGTTAAAAATTACATGCATCAGGTCCAAAATATTCTCTCCTGGCTATTCTTTCCTTCCTTTTCCTCTCTGTTGGTCTTTAAGAAAAATCCATTTTATCTATAACCATTAAGATAACCCTCCAGCAAGATCTAGAAACCTAAATGTGTTTTCCATAAATCATTATGAACTTTTCTCTTCCAAACAAGGAAACTACACTTGCCACAAATAAATAAATGCCAGAAGATTAGACGTCAGTGGAAAATTCAGAAAAGCCACACAAGGCTACTGTATGTTGTAAGCAAAGAAGAAAAAGATTTTTTTCCAACTTACATATTTCACAGAACTAGTAAAAATTTTAACTTAAAACTCGGTATCCATAATTAACCCATGATGCAGAATGAGAGATAAAGTTCTAAAAACTTACAGAAATATGAAAGGAATTTTCATCTAAAGACCTATCTCAATTTAACAAATATATTAATATAAAAAAACTTGTGAAGAATAAATATTGATTTTAAGATGGAAATAACAAATTTGGCTCAAACACAATTTTAAAGTTAAATGTCAGCAAATTTTGCATTCCAAATCTGCATGCACCAACTGGCATAAAGATAAGTTCAAAGATAGTTTTGTGTCTGAGAAGTAGTTCTACTCTGGGTTTTCCTGTAAGGACTGCTCAGCATCTCCCTTACTTCCAAACAGTTACAGATGTTGTTACTAACGGTTAGACTAACAAATACTTTCTATCCTGCAGGATTTCATAAAAATGCTTGGATTTTTTAAAAACAGATTTGTGCATTAAGGAAGCATTAAGGAAGAATAATTAGAATTAAGTTAACTGTTTAACTATTTATAAATAAAGATCAATATAAGTTATCTTTTTTTTTAAGTTTCTGAAATTTATTCCTTTATTATACAACATTTTTCTTGTGCCAATCATTATTTTAAGTCCCAGAGATATAGCAGTGAACAAAATAGAAATCCCTGGAGGGACTACAGAGAATACTAATTTCAGTGGAATAAGGAAAAGCTGGAAAGAAAGATGTTATACCAAAATTTGCTGGGATCTGGGGGTTACAATTTTAAATTGGGAGGTAAGGAAAATCTCTAGGTAAGGAAAAACCTTACCTAGAGACTGATCTTGAGTCAAGACTGAAAACCGTTGACGGTATGTGCCCTTGTATCATCAGGGAAAGGACAATACACATAGTGAAAATAGCAAGTGAACACGTCCTGAGTTGTGCACATGTTTTCTGAGCTTGAGAAACCAGCCATGTGAATAAACTGGGCCGGTCAGAGTGCGAGCAGTGGGAGACACAGTCAGAGATTTAAAAGGGTCCTAATTGCGTAGGATGTTATGAAACAAGTGTAAAGATAGGGCTTTTTCTCTGAGTGAGATGTAAGAATACTGGAGGTTGAAGGAGTGGCTAGGTGTGGTTTTACTTACATTTACATTATAAGACAAAATAATCGTAGTAATACTTCCAATCATGGGAATGCACTGTATATTTTGTTTGTTCCAGGCTGTAGTGAAAACCTCCATGGTTTACTCTATTTGGTGTTAAAAAGCATTTTAAAGTTGAGCAAATTGCTTTTTAAAGACAGTGCTCATCTTTTCACAGATATATAGAATAGAGTCTAAGCCACAAAACGCTTTCATATAAATATTGACAAATTTTGTGTTGCATATAAAATTCATTTTTTGTGCATAGCTAATAATCAATATCCTAGAAACATAGATACAATTGAAACTACAATTTTTAATCCATGCTATTTTAAGGCTTCTCTTTATTAAATTCTTCATGGTTCGGTTAAGGCAGCACCTCAAAAAATTAAATCATCAATAATATTGTCATCACTAAGTGGTTTTCCTGAAGACTACTGAATTTATTCCTTTCATATTGGCTTTTCCTTCTCTATAAACTATTCAGCTATAAACCCAGTGCAAGGAGGACTTCTGAGTTATAAAACGCTAAGAATCTTTCTTATGTGTTCAAATAAATAAAATGATAATCACCTTGTCTCAGCATGTAAAATGTTTCAATGCATAGTTCTGAATCTGTGTTTAGAGCACCCCGCTTTGCCATTTGTAGATGGTAAATATGACCCAAAAAGCCTGTGCAGGATTGCTCAGTGTCTAAGGTCCCTGAGCCTCCCCAGCAAATCAGATCAAACACCTTTGGACTTTATAGCAAGTCTCTATAGTAGTGGCCCTGCTGAGAGGATTAAAATTCCAGCAGGAAGAAAGTTGTATTTATTTTAGTTTTAAAGATTCTCCCTCTGTGTGTACTCTGTTTCATTTGAATGAGCTGAGTTACACAGGAGGCCATCACAGGCATGAAAATTGCTGTCTTTTGGTGGATTGTTCTATACCTTGGGAAGTGCAGAGAAAATATGACAGAAGGAAAGGATAATAATAATGTTAATGAAGCTGGAACAAGAAAGTGTTTCTGCAAAATTGAATCGTAGTTTCTTTATCAGGGAGCACAGAGTTGACATTAAAGTAAAGTTTTTACTTGTCTTCCTTCTAGACTGGACCACCCTGGCCAGGGTGAAATACTTGAAAGAGTGACTCAACTGGTGTATATTGTTGATGTTGCTATGGATGTTAAGTTATTAATGTGAAATTTTGTAACTGGTTTGTATTAGCTGTGGTTTATATTTTTTCTTTTTTTATTTTTAAATCAAGATATATATAATTTTTTTGAAATTATTAAAGTAATCCATGATTCCTGTATAAGATTCAATTGAACAAACCAAAAAAAAAAAACAACCCAATAATCTCATTACTGAGAAAAAGCATTAATAATAAAGGCATTTGTGTGTGTGTGTGTGCGCACATGTGTGTTTGTACAAGCGCACATGGGCACATGTTTAGAAAAAGTATGACAGGATTTTACACATGACTTTGTAATGTAATAGTTTTTCATTAAAAATAGTAATGTAGTATGACCTGTTTTCTATATTAAATATATACAATTTATAACATACCATAATTTATATAATTCAATCTCCCAGTGATGTACATTTATTACTTCCAATTTTTAATTAAACAATGCTGCAGTGAACATTCTCATGTCATTTGTTTTGCATATTAGTCCTGTTATTTCTTTTAAAAAAATTAGCAGTGGAATTTCTGGAACAGTTGGTATGCACATTTCAACATTTTCAATAAATGTTGCCAAATTGTTTTTCGGAAAAGTTGCAACAATTTTTATTTCTGACAGTTTTTTAGAAGGATGCTTATTCTCCTCTTTTCTCTCATTAACTGGGAATATCATTAGTTTTCCTCATTATTTTTAATGTGTCAATTTAATAGAGAAAATTCAATTTCTATTTTGCTTTAATTTGCATCTCTTTAGTTATTTTTTAGATTAAGTATCGTTTTATATGTTATTTCTTCTTTTATTGCTTATTCATATCCTTTGTCCATTTTTCCCTTTGGGTTTTTAATTCTCTTATTAATTTGTCAAGAGATCTTTTGTCAATGATAATAGCTTTCTTGTACATCATATACACTACAAGTATTTTTCCCAGTTTGTCCTTTGTCTTTGACCTCCATGCCTTCTTTCAAGCATTATTTTGTGAGCTACTTCTAAATCATTTCAGAGTGAGGTGATAGGTAAATGGGTGGATATGCACAAAGACACAGAATTAGTAAATAGTGGAACAGTAATTTGAATCTAGGTTTATCTCTTTGCGTTGTCCATGTTTTTACTCTGTATTTCCCCCCAAGGTTTGGTTGTCTTAAATGTGGCTTATTAATATGTTTCACACAAACATAAAACCAGTATTTGCAAATGTGGTCTTCTTACAATCTAAGAATGATATTATTCTCCTCCATACTTCTCTGGAGTTCTGGATCATGATAAATAGTGTAATTCTCTGCATATTCCATGAGAACGAAACCAAACTGCCTGAAAGAAGCTACTTTGATCATCATGCACCACAAACTCCTTTCTGTGCAGTGGAAAATGTTAATCTCAACACCGGGGACCTCTCAATCCAATTAGCATGTTTGTGAATCTACCTATATACACAGCTTTCGTTTACATAGAGACAGAAAATAACTATTGAAACTCAGTAATTGTTTCTGTTCTTATCTACTCAACAAATGTTTCCATAGAACTTGTATTTTGTGGTGATGGTTAATATTATGGTATATCATTCTTCTAAGTGCTTTATGTTTGTTACTCACCTAATCCTTACAACGTGTCTTAACTCTAGGTATATATGATCTTTTTTTATAGACAGGATCATTTTGACTCACAGAGAAGTTAAGTAACTTACCCAGGATTGCAGTGTTTAAGTGGAAGAGATATTAGGGACTCAGATTGCTTCCAGAGCCTGTGCTATTCACCACTAGCCTGAGCTACCTCTCAGCACACAGTACTTGCACAGAATGAAGTACTGAATGTTGACTTAAGTAATAGACATGTGTGGCCTCACTATATAGTGGTTGGGGGGAACACATATATGTCACACAGGCCCCTATGCTAACTACAGAGAAATAATCCTTCCAGCCTGGATTGGGGAAGCCACAGAATTCAGTCTCTTCTAGAGAAGAGGTACAAAGAAAATTAATGGAGACATGTGAGCTCCATAATCAAAATACAAATTTTTAATTCTGAAAACTCAATACATGAAAATAAATTATTAACTGTAACTTGTCTTTTCAAGTCTGCGAGCTTTCTGGAGTTACAATTTTTTTTAATGCCGCAGAGAAATATTTCAAGCTCTTATCCCACATGCTATGAGAAGTCCAGGGCTCCAGCATTTCCTAGGAATTCTTAGGAGTTTGTGTTCTGATTATCTCTTGTCCAAATTCCTTATTGTGACTCATCTGCCACAATTGCTGTCCTTCCTTTGACCTTCCCCAAAAAAACCCTAGACAAGCCTGTGTGCGTAATCACCTTTTACTAAGGGCTGAGTGTAAGTGAGGGGAAAGAAAGAAAATATAAAATAGTGCTCACTTCAGTAGCACATATACTAAAATTGGAATGATACAGAGGAGATTAGCATGGCCTCTGTGCAAATATGACATGCAAATTCATGAAGTATTTCATATTTTTAAAGATCTACACACACTGAAAGTGAAGGGATAGGAAAAAAATATTCCAAGAAAATGGACCTGAAAAAAAATTTGGGGTAGCATTACTTATATCAGACAAAATAAATTTCAAAACAAAGGCCATAAAAAGAGACAAAGGAGGACTCTATAAAATACTTAAGGGAACAATCCATCAGGAAGATATAACCCTTGTAAACATATGTGCAACCAACATAGGAGCACCAAAATATATAAGGAAAATTTTGTAGGAATTCAAGAAAGATATTGACAGCAACAAACTCATAGCAGGGGACTTTAACACCCCATTGTCAGCAATGGTAGATCTTCCCAGCAAAGAATCAACATGGATATTGTGGTATTGACAACACTCCAGATCAAATGGACTTAAATGATATGTATAGAACCTTTCACCCCCAAAGAAGCAAAATATACACTGTTTTCAAATGCACATTGAACATTTTCAAAGATAGATAACATGGGAGGTCACAAAACAAGACTCAGCAAATTCAAGAAAAGTGAAATCATGTGAAGTATCTTCTCAGATCACACTGGCTTGAAACTAGAAACCAACCTCAAAGAAAAAACTCAAAAAGATTCAAATTCATGGAAACTGAATAATATACTATTAAACAATGAATGGATTAACAATGAGATCAAGGAAGAAATCAAAAAGTTTCTGGGAACAGATGAAAATGAACACACAACAGCCCAGAACCTATGGGACACAGCACAGGCAGTCCTGAGAGGGAAGTTCACAGAAATACAAGCCTACCTAAAAAAGATGAAAAATTTCAAATAAACAACTGAACCCAATATCTACAAGAACAAGAGGAATAATAACAAACAAAGCTCAGAGCAAATAGAAGGAAGAAAATAATCAAGATCAGAGCAGAATTAAATGACACAGAAATAAAAAGAACAATTTGAAGGATGAATAATAAATCCAGGAGCTGTTTCCTTGAAAAGAGAAACAAAATTGATAAGCTTTTAATCAGACTCATCAAGAAAAAAAAGAGAAGACTCAAATAAATAAAATAAAAAATGAAAGAGGAGAAATTACAACTGAGGCCACAGAAACACAAAAGATTGTAAGAAATTACTATGAACAACTATATGCCATGAAATTTGACAACCTAGAGGAAATAGACAAATTTCTTAAAACAAATAGTGTTTCAAAACAGAATCAAGAGAAGGCGGAAAGCCTAAATAGACCAATAACAATTAGTGAAATTGAAACAATAATCAAAAAACTTCTGGCACACAGAAGCCCTGGACCAGATGGCTTCACAGGTAAATTTTATCAAATGTTTAGGAAAAAGCTAACCCCTGTCCTTCTCATACTCTTCAAAAAAAAAATGCAAGGAAAAGGAAGACTCCCAAAATATTTTTATGAGGTCAGTATTATCCTAATTCCAAGACCAGGTAAAGACACAACAAAGAAAGAAAACTACAAGCCAATATTGCTGATGAACATAGATGCTAAAATTCTCAACAAAACATCAGCAAACAGGACCCAACAATACATTATAAAGATCGTACACCATGACCAAATAGAATTCATCTCAGGGATGCAAGGATGATATAATATTCACAAATCAATAAACATAATGCACTACATAAATAAAATGAAAGGCAAAAATGACATGAACTTATCAATAGATCCTGAAAAACCATTTGATAAAACACACCACTCATTTATGATAAAAAAAGTTCAGCAAAATGAGAATAGAGGGAGCATACCTCAACATAATAAAGGCCATATACTAGAAACCTATAGTCAACATCACACTCAATGGGCAAAAACTAAAAACTTTCCCTCTAAGATCGGGAACAAGAGAAGGATGTCCACTTTCACAACTTTTATTCAACATAACATTGGAAGTTCTAGCCACAGAGATCAGACAAAAAAAGAAAGAAAAGCACCCAAATTGGAAAGGAGGAAGTAAAACTGTCATTATTTGCAGATGACATGATAGTATACATAGAAAACCCAATAGACTCCACCAAAAAACTACTTGACCTAATAAATGAATTTGGCAAAATAGTGGGATACAAAGTCAATGTTGAGAAATTGAAGGCATTTTTATACACCAACAATGAAATATCAGAAACAGAAACTCAGGGAAAAAAATTCATTTATGAAGCAGTAAGAAAAATAAAGTACTTAGTAATAAACTTAACCAAGGAAGTAAAAGACCTTTACTCAGAAAACCACACAACACTGAAGAAAGAAATTAAGGAAGATACAAGCAAACGGAAACATGTACCATGTTCATGGATTGGAAGAATCAACCTCATTAAGATGTCCATACTAACCAAAGCAATCTATAGATTCAATGCAATTGCTATCAAAATACCAATGACATATCTCACAGATTTAGAACAAACATTTCAAAAATGTATAATGAACCAAAAATGAATCCAAATACCTGCAGCAATCTTAAAAAGAACAAAGTAGGAAAGATCACAATACCTGATATTAAACTATACTATAAGGTCACTGTGATCACACAGTCTTAGGTAGTGGCATAAGAACAGACACACAGATCATTGGAACAGAATAGAGAGCCAGAAATAAACCCATGTCTCTTTCATCAATTAATATTTGACAAAAGGGACAGAAGCATACAATGGAATAAAAACAGCCTCTTCAGCAAATGGTGCTGGGAGATCTAGAATGGTTTATACAAAAAATGAATCTAGATCACCAACTTATTATACACCAGAATAAACTCAAAATGGATAAAAGACAAATATAAGCCATGACATTATAAAAGTCCTAGAGGAGAAGAGAGGCTGGAAAATTTTAGACATCCCATGCAGCAATAATTTCACCAATACTCACTCTAGGGCAAGGGAAATAAAAGAAAAAAATAAACAAATGGAACTACACCAAATTAAAAAGCTCCTGCACAGCTAAAGAAAACATCATCAAAATGAAAAGGGAACCAATTGTATGGTAAAACATATTTGCCAGTGATACCTCAGGCAAGGGTTTGATCTCCAAAATACATAACGAATGCACATTACTCAATGCCAGGAAGACAAACAATTCAATTTAAAAAATAGGCAAAGGACTTGAAAGGACAATTCTGTAAGGAGGACATACAGAGGGCCCCATAGGCATGTGAAAGGATACTCAACATCACTAGCCATCAGAGAAATACAAATTAAAACCAGAATGAGATATCACTTCACACCAGTCAGAATGGCTATCACAAACAAATCAACAAACAAGTGCTGGTGAGTTTGTGGAGAAAAGGGAACACTAGTACGCTGTTGGTGGGAATGCAGACTGGTGCAGCCACTGTGGAAAACAGTAAGGAATTTCCTCAAAAAACTAAAAATGGAATTGCCTTTTGACCCAGCAATTCCACTGCTGGGATTATATCCTAAAAATCCTGAAACATCAATTCGAAAGGACCTATGCACCTGCACATTAATAACAGCATTATTTACAATAGCCAAGTGCTGTAAACAGCCTAAGTGTCCATCAGTAAATGAGTGGATCAAAAAACTGTGCTACATTTACACAATGGAATACTATGCAGTGGAAAGAAAGAAGGAGTTCCTACCTTTCATGACAGCATGGATGGAACTGGAGAGCACAATGCCAAGTGAAATGAGTCAGATGAGAAAGATAAAAACCATATGTTCTCACCTATAACAGGAACCTAATGAACAAAACAAACAAATGAGCAAAATAGAACCAGAGGCATGGAAACAAAGAAGACACTGACAGGGACCAGAGGGGAGGGGAGACGGGGATAATGGAGGAAAGAAAGGGAAAGGCTTAGTTAAAGAACATGTATAAATGACCCATACATGTGGACAACAGGGTGAGGACTAACTGTGGGAGTGGGGGTTGGGAGGTGGGCAGAGCAGGGGAGAGTAGAGGGGGGGAATTGGGACAACTATAATAGAACAGCAATAAAATAGAAGAGACCTTTAAGTTTTAAAAAATTTATCCAACTTTGGGTTCCAACTTTCATCATGGTCCTAATAGTCCACAGCCACCACAGCCTGATATTTCTCTGGGGCCATCTGTCTTTTTAGATTCCAACTTATTCCAGAGTATGGCTCTCCTAGTCTCTATAGAGATCTTTCTTTTGTCTCTTCCCCTTTTCTTGGCACTCATACCCATGTGGCCAGCTTTTAACATCCAAATTTCTGTTAGCTCCTACTAAGAAAAAAGTTGGCTATTTCTTTGTTCACTGTTCTACACTATCCCCAAGAGACCATGATAAGCATGGTGGTTGGGGGGAGTGCTTATCGTACAACCACCAAGGAATTTTCCCAGTCAAGAGTCAGTTACCTTCTAAAGAATTCTATCTTTCTGATGTAACTGCCTTAAAACACAGCCGTCTCTAAAAAAGAATTAGTTTTGTCTTTTTTACCCAAATACTTTGAGGTGACAGTATTCAAATTATAGGGAAAACATTTTTATATGGATTATTTAATAAATAATATTTATACTGCCCTTTGCTGTTTATAGATCATCATGTATCTAAAGCTGAAAGAGTATTTCACCTAGCATTGGGGTATCAATCTGGGAGGCAGATGAACACTCTGACATGTAATCCAATGAAAGAATAAGATTCTGCAAGCCATTTCCTTGTTGATGTCTATGACAAAAGTCTATAAATGCATGGTTTGGAATTCAGGTTATATTTTTACTAAATAAATAGTAGCTACGGTGTATTTAACTGCCACTGTGGCTGAAAGATGGTAGCAATTCATTGGCTTGAATTCAATGTGCTGGGACTCAGGGATTATGTGGTATAAGAGAGAGGAGAGAGGAAAATTGGTTCACTTCCACTCATGACCCTAGATAGTTACAGTCTTTGACAGTTGCTAATTTTTCATCTGTACTCCTTTTCCACCTCCATCCACCCCTCTCCTAAAGCAGGTCCCTCCCATTTTCTTCTCCGCAGCACCCAGCCAGCCCTTGCCCTACCATGAAATGTGCTCAAGAGATATTATTTCCTTCACTCAAAACCC